ACTGAATTGCTTTCAGTTGCAATATTTATGTGCGTATGAATCATTGAGTACGAAATGGAATTTGTTTTTATGAAACGACAAATAGGGAAATATTTATTGAGCGAATTTACAGGTGCACATTTAGGGCAAGTAACGTTTAACGAATCACAAAACTCGTTTTCGAGCGAGAATCAGTGTGTGTGCGCTTATTGTGGAGCAATGAAAATTTTCATTCCAATTTCGTTCTCTCAGTTACAAATGGGTTAAGGTCTATAGATAGAGGAAGTTTTTACAATCTGGTCTCATATACTTTTTAGAAATGATTGGAGTCTAGAATGCAAGCGCTCGACCACGAAATAATAATTTTGATAATTTAAGCTCTCGAATTATAATAGTGGCAATTGTGTTGGTAATAATGCTGACCTTGATGATAATAATAAAATGTTAATTAGAAGAATGATGATACTGATAATAATCAAAACAATGAGAATATTAATAACAAGATTTTATCCAATGCATACGTTGGACTGTATCACAGAACGGACTTAAAGTCCGCAGTTCATCGAAGAAATTTGATTATATGCGAAATCGAACTCCAAAAAAGTTTTTAATCTTCAGGAAGAGACCAAAAATTGCAATGAATTGCTCCGGCAACATCCATGAATCATGGCGTCGCTCGCCACAACTTTGCAGAATTTCCAGAAAAGCAACTATCAGTCTCTCAGGATTGGAGCCCGCGTGATCAAATCAATTTCAGGTGTTCTAATCAAGAAATTCAATTTCAGGGCAAAACCCACTCCTGGTTCCACACTACCAGGCGCTGATACGCAATCGGTGAACTACAAGAGCGACTCAAAAGTGGAACTCAAGAAAGCAACGGTTGTGTCAAAAAGTTTGAACATTAAGGGCTTGGAGAACGAGAGTGGACTGATCTAGTAGTTGTATTGGATAAAATGAAAGCTTTATAAATAATGAGATGAACTATTGGCTAGTTTGATTTTTCATTTGGTGATTACAGGAGAGTAATACCGAAAATCATGGAACGTATTATTAGGTGAAGTGAAAAAATGTCTGACTAATGATAAATAATCTGAAACGATCAAAAGTTGTTTTCAAGCGATATCGCCAATTGAAATCCCTATATCAGAATGGCTAGAGTCAATGTTGTATTTGAGTGAACTGATAAATTGCAGTAAATATGATATCATGTGATTTTCATGCAGAAATTTGTAAATTTATCTGTTTGTGCTTACCTGAATTGACAAATTTATTTTTGATTTAAATTAATGCTTGCAAAAGCTTCAATATTGTTTTGTGGAGCGATATGAAAATCGATTGAGTTCCTCTTTTTGTACAAAAAATTTTGCTTGCTTCAAATGTGATGATACGTCGTAAAACTTCTCGCAAAAATAATTCTATTATTAATTTTCACCCTCAAATATTTTCAAGAAGCGTTCGCATTTTCGTTTCCTCATTAAACTAGAAGATTGGATTTGAAATAGAGAAGGACAATCAATGAGTTGGGAAGTTTTACGGCTCAAAAGCGATTGTTGATTCGTATGTGAAGATGCAGTTTCATGTTTTGCTCACCATGATCATTATGCATTCAGTGTGAAGATGTGCTTTCTAAAATTGATTTTAGCATTTATTGAATCGTTTATTTTTAAAGCATTCAGAACGGAAATTGAAAATTCGTGAGATGTTTGACGTGTTGTTGAATATATTCATTGAAATAAATAAATGCAGGTGGATGTATGCATTGCATTGTGATAATGCTCATTCAGTTACGGTGCTTACAAGTATGACTTACAAGCCATACAAATTTCCAGCTGAATAAAATAGTTTCATTGTTCTGAGACAGTCCAAGATTTCTTATTCTTTTCTGGAAACCGATATGTTTTCTTGCTCTTTTTCGAGGATTTCTATTACACTTCCGATGTTCTGTTTCATTCTCTCAATGGNTAATGGAGAAACGTTTCAACAACAAGGCAATGCTTGTTACGAAAGCATGCTACATGATCTTCGGATAATTTATAATCTGATAATGAGTTCGAAAAACTCAAATTGCCTGATAAAATTTTCTAAAGGATTGATCTCATTTCATCTTTATTATACAAATCTCTGACATACATAGAAAGGCATGCTCCCAGAAGCACACGAGCTCAGTGTGGTGAAGAATTGTTCAAGTTGAAATAGACTTGGGGTAATTTCCGAAACATCCTGCTCACGATCAGTTATTCCAAAAGAGTCTGTCTTAAGTTTTGCGTTACTAAAGAAATTCACAAAAATTCGTACTTGTTACATAGTTCCAACGTAACATTTTCAAGTTAGCTCTGTGATGTATATGTTGAGGAATGAGTCATGATAAAGCTGCTAAACGCCACACAATACACGCCTATTCTCGAATCTAGCTTAATCCTGCGCTCGATGCACTCACTCATTCTAT